ATCATATATATATATATATATCACTGAGTCTTATAACTATGTAATGAGCTCGACTCTGTTTCAAAAACAAACAACAAATATATATATCATATATATATCATATATATATCACTGAAACAGTCATAACTTTTGTAAGGATTCTCTTGTTGCTATGTTTTCTGTCACTTTTTACTCCTTTAAATTTTCAATGAAACTGAAGACAATCAAATGGCAGGGTCCTGTTACTGTTTCCATTTAAAAAACATGTACTGTTGGGGGCTGGAGAGATGGCTGCTCTTGCAAAGGACCTGGGTTCGATTCCCAGCACCCACATGGCAACTAACAACTGTTTGTAACTCCAGGTCCAGGGGATTTCATGCCCTCTTCTGACCTCCACAGACACTGCATGACACGGGTGCACTTACATACAAGCAGACAACACACTCATACACATAAAATAAAAAAAAAAATGTACTGTTCATATGAGTGACAAAGGAGTCTCTTTTAATAATTTGTACACAGATCACAAAGTGAGATTAGCCACTCACTTTTTCTTTTATGACTTAAAAGTATTTTATTTATTTATTTAGTTATTTTATTTTATGTGTAGGAGTGTATTGCCTGCATGTGTCTTAAGTGCACCCATGTTGTGCATTGCCCAAAGAGGTCAGAAGAGGGCTTCGGAGTCCCTGGAACTAGAGTTAAAGTGTTGCTTGGCCACTGGAGTTAGGCTGGTGGTTAACTGCCATGTTAGTGCTGGGATTTGAATCTGGGTACTGTGCAAGAGCAGTCAGTACTTTTAACTGCTGAACCATTTCTTCAGCCCCCTTATGACTTTTTTTAAGAGGGGAGAAACAGGACTTTAATTATTTGAAAAAAATGTGTTTAGAACGATAACACTCTGAGTTTTTAAAAAATTAAATAATGACATAGCCAGGTTAAATTGATAATAGTTTAGACTTGTAATTCCAAGTGTCTGCATAGGATTGGAAAGGCTCGGAAGCCTAGTCATTGTATAGGGCAGCTTGAAGCTGCTATAACAAATGATTGTAGATTGGGTGACCTACACATCAGGCAATTCTCCTGGTTTTAGAGACTAGGAAGACCAATGTCAAGGTGCTAATGGATTTGGGTCCAGGTGAGCGCCCTCTTCCTCTTATGGATGTGTACCTTCTGGTAGTGCCATACATCAGAGGAAGACAGAGAAATCTGCTCTGTCTTCCTATGGAACCTGTAATCTCATCGTGAACCCTACCTGCATAACCTCATCTAAGTCTAATTTGTTCTGAAGGGCCCTACCACCAAATGCCACCATACTGAGAACTAGGGCCTCCAAATAGCAATTTTGAGAGGGACACAAGTATGTAGTCCATAACAAATATGGTTAATAATTTTTTATTTAGTTACATGGAGATGTCTACTTCTAAAAGTCATTTCATTCCTTAATGAAATTATAACTTCCTACTTGTGAGCCCTTAGCTGAAAAATGGATATTATATTCTTATTTTATGTTTTTTACATTTATATTGCCATTTAGGGTCTCCACAGTGTCATTTTATAGTTTAAAATGTAAGTTTTATGTAAGGCATTTGGCTGCTTCAATATTTTGTCTGATCTCCCTCCCTTTCTCCTATTACCCTTTGACATTGGACACTTTAGTTTCATTTTGTCAAGAGGAAATGAAGACTGAGGTATCCAAAGGCCTTCTAAAGGTCATGTGACCAAACAAGTGGAAAAGCTCTGACTTTCAAGGTCATTTAGCTGAGAGCTGTTTCCAAAATCACAGACAGGCATGACAGTGTAGGCCATGGGTTGGTCAGAGGACAGGCTGATTTAATGACACAGAACAAAAGGGAAAATAATATGAAATAATATGAATAATATGTAATGAACAATATGAAAGGAACTCTAGAATTAGCTGGAATATGATTTGATATCATTAAAAGGGATTTCATCTTTCATCTGGCAAATTAGTCGTAAAATGAAACAGTTTTATGGAATAAAATATTATTTTCACAGTGCAATTAAGTAAGAAAATAAGCAGCAGATTAGCAGAGAATAAGTTACATACAAGCGTTTGTGTAGGCAGTTGTATTTACTTGAAATATGATATTAAAGGCTGGGATGTAGCTCAGTTGGTAGAGTGCCTGTCTGGCATGAACAAAGCCCTTGGTTCCATCCCCACTGGGTGTGGTGCACACCTGTAACCCCAGGACCAAGAAAGTGGAGTTGGGATGGTCAGACACACGTGAGTGCTGGGATGGGCATACTTGCCAGACTATATGAGATTCTATCTTGAAAAATTATGGTATTAAGACAGACAATTTGTAGAAGGTTATTTGTCATTTTTTTAACAGATCTTTGAATAAAATTGGAACTTAAAAAAATATCTGATTAACTCAACCCTTTGAGTTTGTAATTTTCATTCCTTTCCAAAACCAATACTTTTTTGGAAATTCATATCAATATACATTTTTAAAAATCATTTCAAATAATTTAAGACAGACAATTTGTAGAAGGTTATTTGTCATTTTTTTAACAGATCTTTGAATAAAATTGGAACTTAAAAAAATATCTGATTAACTCAACCCTTTGAGTTTGTAATTTTCATTCCTTTCCAAAACCAATACTTTTTTGGAAATTCATATCAATATACATTTTTAAAAATCATTTCAAATAATGGGAAGAGGATATTTTTAAATTTAATTTTATTTATTTTTTTTGGGAAAAGACTTTTAGTATTGGATGCTGCTTTAAGTTTGATAGAGGAGAAAATTAAATGTCAATAGGAAATCAGCGTGAATGTTTAGTATCTAGTCCTTTCCTCCTGGTAGTACTTTCTCCTGTCTGTAATCTCTAGGAAACATGTAAAATAGTATATTTTATATTATTATAAACTTTGTAGCAACTCCTTTTATGTCTTCAAATGTCATATCCTTGTCTTATAGAAAGAATATAAAAAAGATTTGGAAAGTGAGATAAAGGGGAGAGGAATGGAACTTAATTCCCAAGTTCTTGATGTTCAGAGAGCAGAAAGGGCGTCTGCAATGGCCAGCGAGGCGAGTACATGTATTTAACAACTTAGAGTGACCACTTTCCAGCTGGTTTCCTTGTCTATGTACCTTTCTCAAAGGTTAGATATGACACACAACTTTTATGTATAGATGATAATAGACTGCCACATCTTAATTTTTTCTCAGACAGTAAATGAAAAATAAATGTATCTTCAAAACCTACTTTCTATATGGTGTGAAGAAAATGACCATTTTAAAGAAAATCTGTGTAATAACCCCAGGCACCTGACCCACATATAGCTCTGGTACCTGGTTAGAGACCTGGAGTCCCTTGCTTTGGCCCCACCCACTCTGACCAGGAAACCTTGCTAACATGTCTTGCCAACATGGCCTCTAAAACCTGGCAAGAAACCCAGGCTCTCCTTCAGGCCTGACCAACCCAGGAACCTTGTTCCCTATACCTGGCTCAGGAAGCCTCTAGCACCTGGTTATGAATCTGGCTTCCCCTACTTCAGTCCTCCAGGACTCTCCTCAAGCCACAGGCCACACAATCCTCCTCTTTCTAACCATTATGCACACTTGGTAAGAGATAGGCCTCTCTCAGCTCCATTCACTTGGAACTTTCCCAAAGCACTAAGCTCACCTCCCCACCTTAGACTTTCTGGACTAAAAACTCATATCAAAAGCTATAGCCGACAACCTAACTCTAGATGCCTGAATCCCACTGTAAAAGCACAAAAAATAAGAAAAATGTAGGAAATGTTCCAAAATTTCAAAGAATTCAAAAAGAACATGAGTGACCATCAAAGGACACATGCACAGGACATGAATAAGCTAGAGTCCAAGAAAACACAAAGACTGAATGAAGTCGTGAAGACAATTCAGGAAATGAAAACTGAATTCAAGATGAGACAGAAATACTGAAGAACTGAAACCGAAATGAAACAGGAATGGAAAAGCTCGGTAAGCCTAATAAAAACTCAGTGGGAAGCCTCATCACAGAACGGACCATGCAGAGAATAGAGAATCAGGGCTTTAAGACAAAGCAGAGGAACCGGATCATCCAGTCAGCGAAACTGACAAATTAAAATAAAAAAACCCTCATGAATTGAATATTCAGGAACCTTGGGGCACCACGAAAAGACCAAATCTATGATTTATGGACATAGAAGAAGGAGAATTCCAGGTCCAATACATAGAATAGATCTTCAATGAAATCACTGAAGAAAAAATCCCAGATCTAGAGAAATAGGTGCCTATTCAGGTACAGGAGACACACAGAACCAGAAAGTCTAAGGTGGGGAGGTGAGCTTAGTGCTTTGGGAAAGTTCCAGTTGAAACACCAAATATACAGAACAAAGAAAGGGTATTAAGGCCTAGAGAGATGGCTCAGGAGTTAAGAGCATTCACTGCTGTTGCAGAGGACCCAGGTTCAAATCCCAGCAACCCCATGGTGGCTAACAACTGTCTTTAACTCCAGTTCCAGGGGATCTGGCTCCCTCTTCTGGCCTCTGCGGGCACTCTGATACAGGTGCACTTACTACATGTAGGTGTAACACTCACACATCAAATTAAAAAATAAATAAAAATTTAAAAAAGTGTATTGAAAGCTGCAAAAGGAAAGGCCCAACTCTCATATAGTGGTAGGTCAGCAGAATAGCAGCAGATATCTCACTGGAAACTTGAAGGTCCAGAAGAACTTAAAGCAATGTGCTTCAAGTTCAGGAAACAGATGCCAACCCAGGCTATCTGGCAAAAGTATCCATTGCAATTGAAGGAGCAAGAAAAACTTCCATCTCAAAGCAGGCTAAGCGAAGTTCTATGATTAAACCAGCCCTACAGAAAATGCCAGAAGGAAGGAATACCTCAGATCAAGGAGAAGGACAAACACATGATGCTAGGAAAGTGACTATGCAAAGTGGGACTAAGAAAACAAAGCACGAAAATCAGCAAAATGGATGCACATCTTTCATAATGATTTTGAGCATTAATGGCTCAATTCCACAATCAAAAGACACGGACTAGCCCATTTGATTAGAAAGCAGGATCCCTCTTTTTGTTGTCTTCATGAAACACATTACAAGGGTAGACACTACCTTAAAGTGAGAAGTTGGAAAAAGATATTGAAAGAAAATGGGACCAGGAAACAAGCAGGCGTAACTATTCTAATAGCTGACAAAACAGATTTCAGGTCAAAACTAGTCAGAAGCAATAAAGGTTACTTTATTCCGATCAAGGGAAAATCTACCAAGAGAACATAATATTAAACACCTACCCACTAGACCTGGGTGCACCCATTTTCATGAAACAAATACTACTAGGCATTAAGCCACAGATTAACCACAACATAGTAATAATAGGTGATTTTTGATACCTACTTTCACCCATGGACAGCTCATTTGGACCAAAACTAAGCAGAGCAATGTCATTGTAGACCAAACAGAGCTATCAGATACTAACAGAAAGCACTACCCAAGCACTACAGAATACTCATTCTTCTCAGACACTCATAGAAGTTTCTCTAAAACAGACCATGCATATATAGAGACACAAAGCAAATCTCAATAAATTTAGAAAATTAAAATACTCCATTTATTCTATCTGTTCACAATGGAATAAAACTTGAAATACTAGCAAAATAAGCTCCAGAAAATGTGCAAACTTATGGAGTGTAAACAACACACTTTTGAACTATAAATGAGTCAATGAAGAAATCAGGAAGGAAATGGAAAAATTCTTAGAATTACATAAAAATGAAAATACAACTTACTAAGACCTCTGGGATATATGAGAGCAATTTTAAGAGGGACATTTATAAATTTAAGCACCTACATTAAACAGTCAGACAGAGCTATGCATGGTAGCAATGCCTTTAATCCCAGCACTTGGGAGGCAGAGGCAGGCAGATCTCTGTGGGTTCAAGGCCAGCCTGTTCTACATAGTGAGTGCCAGGACAGCTAGAGCTACAAGGAGACCCTGTTTCAAAAAGACCAAAAAAAAAAAAAAAAAGAATAGCTAGGAAGGAATGATCAAAACCAGGACAGAAATCAATGAAATGGAAGCAAACAAGCAAAACTTACCAGTGAAATGAAGAGCTGTTCCTTTGAAAAGATAAACAAGATCAGGAAACTCTTAGCCAAATTAACTTAAAGAAATTAACCCAAATTAATAAAATTAGAGGTAATTAGGGAGATGTCACACAAAAGATATCAAAGAAATCTAGAAAATCATCAAGGAATATTTTAAAATCTATACTTCATTAAGTTAAAAAACCTAGAACAAAGCTGGGTGTGGTGGTATACTCCTTTTATCTCACCACTCGGGAGGCAGAGGCAGGCAGATCTCTGTGGGTTCAAGGCCAGCCTGGTCTACATAGTGAGTTCTAGGACAGGTAGGGCTAAAGGGAGACCCTGCCTCAAAAAGACCAACCCCCCCAAAAAAACCCGAAAAAAAACCCCAACAAACCTTGAAGAAATGGATGAATTTTTAGATACATCTGACCCACCAAAATTAAATGAAGACCAATAATTTTAAAAATATTTATTTATTTATTTAGTTAGTTAGTTAATTTGTGTGGATGTATTGCCTGCATGTATGTAAGTTCACCCATATTATGCAATGCCCTTGGAAAGAGGGTGTCAGATTCTCCTGGAACTGAAGGTACAGACAGTTGTTAGCCACCATGTGGGTGCTGGGAATTAAACCCAGGTCCTCTGCAAGAGCAGCCTCTGAAAGAGCAGCCAGTGCTCTTAACCTCTGAGCCATCTTTTCATCCCCGAGATCAATAATTTAAACAGACCTGTAACAGGCAAACAATGTGACGCTTGGAAAGAGGGTGTCAGATTCTCCTGGAACTGAAGGTACAGACAGTTGTTAGCCACCATGTGGGTGCTGGGAATTAAACCCAGGTCCTCTGCAAGAGCAGCCTCTGAAAGAGCAGCCAGTGCTCTTAACCTCTGAGCCATCTTTTCATCCCCGAGATCAATAATTTAAACAGACCTGTAACAGGCAAACAATGTGACGCTTTAATTAAAAAAGAAAAAAAAAAAAAACCAAAAAACCTCCTGACTAAAATCTCCCAGGTCCAGATGGAGTCACAGCAGAACTTTACTGAACATTTAAAGAACTACAAACTAGTCCACTAAATAAAAAGAACATCTTCCCAAGTCCTTCCACAAAGCTAGTAGGACCCTAAACCAAAATCAGAAAAGGAGAACTACAGACCAAGATAAACCATGATAAACCTTGTTGCAAACATTCTCAACAAAATACTTGCAAAATGAATATAGATACTCATCAAAAAGACCATTCACCACAATCAAGCTGACTATATCCCAGAGATGCAGGTACATCTATAAATGAAATAAATCATGTAAATGTCTTAAGGAGAAACATACATGGTCATCTGAATAGATAAAGAAAAGGCTTTTAACCAAATCGAATGTCTCTTCATGACAAATGTTGTAGACCAGGGTTGGAGGAAAGACACTTCAGCATAATGTCAGACCCACAGTCAACATTGTGCCCGGAGTATTAGCTAGAACAGTAACACAGAGGAGGAGATAGAAAGGATACAAAGAAGTGAAGTCAAAGTATCTCTATTTCCATTCCTCACAGAAATAGAAAAAAAAATCTTAAAATTCACATGGAAACACAAAAGGATAGCCAAAGTGATCTTCCTCTCTTGCAGCAATATGCCCAGTCTACATGGAGTCCATTTCATTATTGCTTATTAGTAATATTTGTCAGTTTATTTTAAACCTCCACAGTAGAGGCCAGAAGAAAATGGAATGTATGATGGTGGCAGGAACAGCAACAAACTGTACTTGCGTAGTACGAAGCACACAATGCCTTCTCTTCATCATTTATTCTTTCGTTGCATGTGTATGTGTGTGTGGTCTGCGCATGCATCATGTGTCTTTGTATATATTCAGGTGCACATGTGTGTGGTATGTGTGGAGGACAGAGGTTGATGCCAGGTGTCTTCTGTGATTGCTTTTCACTTCGCCCTCTGAGGCAAGGTCTTTGCTGATCCTGGAGCTCACTGATTGGCTGGTCTAGCTTGCCAGCTTGCCCCGCGGATCCCTTGTCTCCATCTCCCACGTGCCGTGCTGGGATGACAGGCAGTCTGTCATGCCCACCTGCATTTTATGTTGGTTCTGGGGACCCGAACTCTTGTCCTGATGCTTGTATGGTAAGTGTTTAATCCCCTGAGGCATCTCTCCAGCCCTCTCTTGGTCATTTAAAAATGTTTAGCTATTTTTCTGCTATCCTAGACCAGAAGTATGTGTTTCTCCATCAAGTGCCTGAATGGTGTTGGTTGTTGCTTTTACAGAAAGAATACAAGAAAGACCTAGAGTCAGAAATCAAAGGGAAAGGAATGCAAGTTGACCCTGATACCCTTGAAATACAACGAGCCAAAAAAGCTGCCAGGATAGCCAGCGAGGTGAGTGGAGTGGATCATGCAGCTCTTGAACCTCCTATTTTGGAACTTAAATCATATCTGCAACTGGATTAGTGCATAGGAGTTCTCAAAGCTCTTGGACCAGTTTGACAGTTTGAAATGGAAACCATTTCAAATCATTACGTTTATTTGGAAATTTATAGTTTTTGCTTCACTTATATCCTTTAAATGCATCAAAGGAAGCTTAGGGAAAGGCATTTTAATAGAATACACACACGTACATGCACGCACAGACACATAGCCTTATATACTGTATTCCATGATGCAACATGTTTCATGTTAATCTAAGGCATTTTCTTTAGAATAGATCATGTTCTGCTTGTCATATTTGTGTTTCTGACTTTGGGGGGCAGGACATGAAAACCACATGTTGAGATTCTAATGTGAACACAATCTTAGTTTCTGCGTGATTACATGTTTGTAACTCATCTTCTGTTTTACTTCATTGCTGTGCTTGAGATTTCTAAAGTCAGCATTTTGGGCCGAGGCATGAGATGTCATGAATCACCGCTGTACATTTTTCCAGCGTCATTTTCTCTTCATGCAACACATACAAAGACATGTGCACAGCAAAGTTGTAGGAACCAGATCATGTGTGTGTGTTTCTAGAGAAATACTCTAGGATTGGATTCATTCATCCTGAGCTTCCTCTGTAAGTTTGGAAGAATCACTGGACTTAGAGAGCATTTAGGATAGGACAGTTTATGAGTAAATATAGAAAGGTGGGGTACAGCTTCAGGAGGGTGACTCAGTCATCTGAAGGTCAGTTAGTGGGGCCTTCAGGAGGTCTGCTCTGCTCTGAGAGCCACTATGACTCTTACAGCTGGGAAGAGCTGACTAGGAGTAGACTGCCACCCAGGACGGTTGGGAAGCCAGAGATGGCTGGTTAACTGTCAAAAAATTTACTCTTGTTGGGAACTGCCACTCTCAAGGCTGGGCACTGGCCATGGAAATGTCAATGGCCATGATTGATTGACACAGGAACCAGGAATGGTATTCCTGACCAGTAGGGTTCGCTGTGGAATGGCAGCAGGGGTGGGCAGCAGAATTCTGAACAAAGATTTGAAAACCCCCGTATATTCTCCCCTAATTCTGCTCTCCTAAGAATCATCCATTGTTACATGTGTTGTAGACTCTTCAGATCCGTTTGTAAGTATACATACACAAACATGTTCTTGTATACATATCAACTTAAGTAACCCTTACATGTGGTCATGCTGTATACTTTTTCTGTGGTTTTTGTTTTCATTTAATATCAGACTCTTTCATATTATTTCAGGTAGTTTGCCTAATTCTTTTAGAAAAATGGCCTGTCCTGACCATGGATGTGACTATGCAGCATTTACCCTCTATCGTCCATCTGAAAAGTATACAACCACATCTCAGCATCATATGCCAAAACCAGAACCCTTAATCCCCCCTGCCACCGCAAGTTATCCTCCCCATCTCCTCAAATGGCACCAGGCTACTCTCTGAAGTCGTTTTGACTCCTCTCATCAGCAAATTTTATTGCTTCCACCCTGTGATACTGTTCTAAACGCATTTACTTCAGAATGAACTGCCACCCCTATTTCCAGGATCTTGCAGTAGATGCTTAAGCAGTATTCCACCTCCATTCTTGCTGTGCTAATGCATTTTCTTACCCCTGCAGCCATACTTTTACAATGTTATGAGGTTCTCTTATTCTGAGGCAGGGGCTGTATGTATCCAGTATCAGTTCGAATTGCTCAATTTGAGCATGACGTGGCAGGTGGAAGTTCAGGGATAGAGGAAGGAGCTTTGGAAATCATCCTCATGAGAATGAATGCTCAAGCCAACTGAGATCATCTCTTTAGAGCACAGAAGGTGGAATGTACATGGCATTTCATCCTTCTGCCTTGCAGCAGGCTTCTAAGACATATGTACCTTTTTTAAAAAGATGGTTGGGATATTTAAGCACTCAGATCTGTGCTGATTAATTTGTTCAATGACAAGCTGGTTTAGATTTCTCTTTGTTCTTTTGGAGTATATACTAGGAAAATGTGAATTTAATTATTGACCAAGGAGGGGAAAATAGAAGAATCAGCTGTTGTAGGGTGATGCTTTTACCAATGTACTCTAAGTATCTCATTTACATATAATCATGGTCATGTCCTGTCATACCAAACTGACAGGCCTTCAAAGCCTTTGCAACCCATGTTTGGGATTTTGCTGTTGTTGATTTTTATCTCCATTAAAAATAATGTCACTGTATTATATTGTTATGTCAATACCCTCCAGTAGTCAAATGAGTAGTCTCATTTCCATGGGCTTGACTGTGAGAGTTCATGTAGCCGATGCTTAGCCACTCTGACTGGCAGAGGCTTTGAGGTGCGTGTCTTGTTTGTTCTTTTGGAATGCAGATCTTGTCATATTGCTGTTTGAAACCCTCCAATTTGGGCTTGTTTGGTTCACATAGTGATACAGTTGCCTAATGACATTTGTTTCAGAATGTGTCCCGCATGATGAAATGTTGCATTTAATATTCTTAAGGCCTATGTGACTCAGTTTCCCTCTCTGATTTGTTCCCAGTCACTCATACCCAGGAGGAAAGAATGCTCTTCTGTTTCTCCACGTGGGAAAAGAAGCATACCTAGCGCCAAACCAGCCACAAGAACAAGGGCAGAATAGAATGATTTATTTAAGCACCACGGGGTCCAGAGACTTGGGCCAGTATCACTCAAACTCAGTGGTTCAGAATGGGAGCTTAGTGAACTGCAACCATTGAGAACAACATTTTGCAGTTGCTTTATTGACATTCATCGGCCAAGTTCTACAATTGCCAGTCATTTTTTCAATTTTTTAATTGAAATATAAACATTTCCTTGACCTAGCTCTGTTCTTTCTCTTGATGTAGCTTAGTGGACAAATTACTTGTGATTAAGTCACTGTACCCCATGCTTCTACTGCAAGTTAATACTCCTATGTAGAAATAAAATAAGGTCCAACCTAGTTCCAGAGCATGTGGACCTGATGTAAAAATGACACCACGGTTTTCAGCACTCTTTTGAAATGACTGCAGAGCACTAACTGTGTTTTGTTTTCTGCAGAAAGACTATAAAAAGGACCTGGAGACAGAAATTAAAGGGAGAGGGATGCAGGTCAGCACAGACACTCTTGATGTTCAGAGAGCTAAGAGGGCATCGGAGATGGCCAGTCAGGTAAGGATGAGTACACAATCCTATGCTAAGATGCAGAGATGTAAACGTCACTTCCATGTGGGTGGTTATGATGTGACGACATGCTCTAGAAGGTTACGCAGAGAGCCAGACCTGTTTTCTGTTCTTTTAGAAGCAATATAAGAAGGACTTAGAGAATGAAATTAAGGGGAAAGGAATGCAGGTGAACATGGATATCCCGGAGATGCTTCGAGCCAAGAGGGCATCTGAAATCTACAGCCAGGTTGGTAGGGCATGGAGATGCTTGGATATATGTGCTCTAATCCTGTCGGGGTGTGCTTCCTGTGTCTTTTTGATGGACCTTGCTTGCAAAGTTAGTGTTATTAAGGTTCTCCTGTCAAAACTTGCTTAACTTTTCTAATGAGAAGGACAATGGCTGTGGATTTAATTCAGTGGCTGTAATGGAGTGCCAGATCGCCACATGGGGCCTTCTTTTGAGGGCAAGGACATTTGGACCATCTTTTTATTTTTAATCTATTACACACTTCCCTTGATAGTGTTTGTTCATCCTACAAAAGCCGTAATTATACAAATCTGTCTTTTGTCCATTTTGCAATCAATAGTATTTTAAAAGAGGGCTCAATAAAATAAAGTAGTTAAAATGATGTAAGCTA